AACTCTGTACCTCCGTCTCTGAAGATGATGCGAATCCTCTTTCCAAACTGGTGATATTGATATTCACTCCACTGTACCAGCTGTGTCGCAATTTCATCCTTTCCGGCCGTGGTTATAGACCACCTCATCCGTGTTTTTGCATCCGTAAGTATGACTGCATATTTGTGACCGTTAAACGCTTCCGTTAATTTCCCTACTGAATCGACGAAGATCTCATCTAATGGTTCACTTGGTGTTGGTCTTGGCTCCCTCGACACAAACCTCTGCGCTTTACTCAAGTGACAAGTCTCACAGGTAGTGAGATCTGAATAGTCGATTCCATCCATTCCAAGCGAACATTGTGCAGTCTTCTTCAGGATCTGCTGACCCGTGTGTCCCAATCTCTGATGCCATCTATGTGCATTCGTAACTTTTGGGATCCTAGCTATTCCTGGTGCTGCTAATTTGTTCGAAATGGAGGCTCTCTCTCTCTGTCCCAGCGGTTTGATATATAACACATGGTCGATTGTCTCTAATCTTGCTATCGGTTCATTGTCTTTGATTCGTATCAATAATTCGTTAGCATTAGCTGCAACAATACCATGTTGATCCTTTAATTTTCCCGCTGATATAATGTTGCATGTGGAGTTGGGTGAAAGAAGGGATTCATCAAGCTCCAGTGATTGACTACCAATCCTTACAAGACTGGTTCCCTGATATGTCAACACTGAATTTCCCACAGCTTGATCAAACCTGAAGGGTTTTCGCAATTTATTCAGCGTGGTGAAGTCACTTTTGTGACGAATAAATTGGTGCGAGGCACCAGTGTCGTACAGTAGAGGGTTTTTGATTAAACTAGCTGTTGTAGCCCTAGCTAGTCTGCAACTTGACATCCCCTCGCTCTCACTGTCTTCATCACTGCTCCCAATTGCGACACTCACGCTTGGTTTTCCCTTCGCTTTTCCCTTTTTCGACTTTTTCCCTTGCCTCAACTCTGGGTGCTGCTTAAAACAATTCTTGTTTCTATGTTGATGGGTACACAGCACGTAGTAGTCATTTGGGCCCCCAACAGCTTTCTTCTTCCCTCCATCTTCCTCTCGCCCTCACCAGTCATCACCATCACCTGCCCCGACGACTTCCCTTTCGACTGTCCAACCTGGCGAAGCGTTGACATCATCGACTCGAGCGGCACATACCTGTTCTTTCCGTCTAGGATCTTGGTCTGCCTCCAAGTATCCAGCCAATCAACACTCTCTGTTCCCAAAACGAAAAGAAAACTTGCTAGCCCATGGCGTACAGTGTATGGATTGTCCGAGTCAGAAATAGATTGCTGGTGATACATTGACTCAGCGGCACTGTTAACGCTCAAGTAGTGCTGCATAAACTTATCGCAGTATTCTTCGATTGTTGTGAACTTTGTGTTGATTAAATTTCTGACGGCACTCTCATATGGTGTGGCCGCGCTCTCCTCTCGAGTCGTCGCTATTGTGTCGAATATTTGCTTCGCTGACATTCGCCGAAAATTCTGGGGACGAACACTTGGACTTAGTCGTCGGAGCAGGACATTTTTCGCCTCAATTTCTCCCTCTTTCCACCTCGCAAGTTCCTCCGCGTACTTCGCCGAGGTCTTGCAAAACTCGTCGTCGGTTTGATTTTCTCCCCTGATCGGTTCACGAGGTCGAAATGCCGGTTGAATTTCCTCGAAGTCATGAAATACATGGGCTAACCGACCTTTCTTGATCGGGGCCACCTGGAGATCCGATTCCCAGTCCGCAAAGCTTACTCCAGGGGTCAAAACGATTGCTGAGCTCTTATTCATATTGTAAGGTGGTGTATATCTTTGGAGAAGTTAGGATGACTGGTTTAAAGCATTATCGAGGTGCCACAGAGAAGAACTCCGGGCTCATAACCTGTTGTATTAACTAGGCTATATGGGAGCAGGACGATGGATACTCTTGGGGAAGTTATGCTCACAGTAGGTCTCTATAGTCGCTGTCGCGTGTGTTCTCGTGATATGTAAGACTTGACTCTATATTCTCGTATAAAGGAAACTTAGTTACAAATGAATGGACGGAGGTTGAGACCTCCTTATATCTTGCTCCAGACTTACTGTGTTGTTCACAGCCTAGTGCTAGAACATTCCCTTATGATATCATTTCTCTCCTACGAGAAATGACCAGCTCGTTCTCTCTCAGTCCATCAGTCTCTCGCTGATTCCGTTATCTCTATTCCATCTAGTTCTAGTTTGGTCCAGTATACTCACACATGCATCACACATGCATTACACACTAAACACCCTACGGTTTAGTTCCACAGTCACGTGCATATGCTATGACGCGACCTAAAGCATGTACCATGGTAAGTTACATGGATAACACAACAGGTGGCCATCTAATAGGCGTTATTCCAACTTCACGCAGCGCCTCAATTGTTGAGTACGCTTTATGACATGGTGCATGTATAGAATTTCTGGATTTTCCACGTGAAATTGATTCAAAAGAAGCAAAACCCTTTCACAAAAGAATGAGGCCCTCATTGATCCCTAATCCTTCTCCCAGACTAGGAATGGGCCTTTTCGAGATCCGTAAAACGATCCCCAAAACATCCAACTGTTCCCATAAACATGGCGAACCACGATACAGGTCTTATCAAACTCATCATCAGGCTAAGCTCTGCTGTTAGTACAAGGAAGATTTTGATAGAATTTATACGTACTTTTCTTGTAACACGAGGTTTCATATGAGAATCACCCTATACCCAGGTTTCGTCAGTCCATATTATGCGACTCCATTGTTCATCGCTCCAATCTGAATGTGATTGGGCGAACTCCAATCTTTTCTGCTTGTTAACCGCACTTAACGGGGGATTGTTCCGAGCAATTCATCTGCTGTAACCTCTTTTATTGAGTGCATTAGATATTAAACCCTCACTGCATCCCCAGTGGCTGAAGGGCCCCATAGTAGTTTCAAATAGCACATCTGTCGATTTTCTGGAGATTCCCGGACGAAAGCCTCAAGCTCATCAACTTATTTCGCGCATAATTTTGGTCAGGGTCCTTTGCGAGGCATAGGATTCTCAGTCGCTCGAGCACACGCAAATTGTACTTGCCTTTTTGTGAAGCCGAGTTCGTCGAATATATGTTGTAATGTCAACCCAAGTCTTCTTAATGCTCTCATTTCAATACATTGATCACGAATTAGATGCTTGCGAACTTTTGTTTCTGAAGCAGACTTTTGAAGAGACATTATTTGCTAGAAAAGAGGATGAATTGATAGTGGTATTAAGTTTCAAGGGCTGTTTTGCTTAGGCAGCCAAAAGTGTCGTTGAAAATGTGTTTTTCTAACTGATTGTTAGAGGAAGACGATTGGACCATACTTCACAGCGAGCAGGGGGACTATTCTCAACACCTGTCAGTGGTGTCCCCTAAGAACCTCCAGCTCTCACTGTAGAGTCTGCAGAGCCGAGGTTGAGTAACACCTTATCAACTTTGAGCTGAGTTATCTCCCCCTCCGTCAAAGATACGCTTCCATTGACACATAAGACGACAAAGACGGCGATAATGATGCTGGGAATGAGGAAAGATAATGCGGTACTAAACGCTACAACGGTAGTCAGAGAAGCCCTCGTTATATCACAACATGTGCTACCCACCGGCGGGCGAACAAAAATCCCACGAAAGCAAAGTAAAAGACCCTTCCGCCCTCAAGAAAAGCAGATTTCGACTCATCTACATTATCGTCCCTACCAATTATAACTTCCAAATCTACTAGCGAGGAGGGCATCTGAAATACATGAGTTACTCGACGACCCCACGTCCGTAACGACTTTTGGATGCTAGGCTAGGCTCCTTCACGACAGTCACTCTCGACCAAGACTTTTCTAACATCCTTTCACGGCCTACGATTTGTCCTGCGGCATGAATCAGGGTAGGAGTAGGGAGGAGGCTAGGAAAGTTGAGAGACACTCTTAGGTATACATAGGTCTGCTGCGCCAGGCTGGCCGGCCTCTTCGTCATAGGAGAGCACCGCACCCAGTGGTTTTTGAGACTTTTCCCAGCAGCTTCACACCCGTAAACGGCCATCGTTTCGTTGGCTGGAGAGGGTAGGTAATCACGAGATAACGGCTCCTCTTAGTGTGTACTCGAATGAAGATCTATGGGGGTATTACTGCTGGAAAGAAGTCGTGAGGGAGGCAAAGGAGGGAATATACTACCCGAGGCATAGATACTCCCGGCCTGTAGGCAGATAGGACCTACATGTCTTTACTTGGTTACAGGCTATTTAGAACAAAATTAATTTAACTTAACTCATGGCGAGCGGGTTTAGGAGGAGATACAGTCTAACCTATTGCGAGCTAGGACCAGCTGCGCTTGTAGGGCTTATCCCTTTAACAACCCAGTTTGGCGGCATATCCGATTCAATTCTTACCTGAGCAGAAGAAAAGTACCCGGAGTAGAAAAGCCAAGCTGTCAATGTGGATATCCGTCGCAAAACGTCAAGCATATGGTGTTGGCGTGTCCGCTGTGGGCAAATGGAAGAGGCGACTTTCTCCGACAAGCTAAAGACAGGTCATTTGAAGCAATAATGAACAGCCCAGAAGACATGGCCAGAATTACACAGTGGATACTAAACAAAGGGTGGATAAAACAGTTTCGACTTGCAGGAGAAGTCGAGGTAGCAATGTCGGATAAAGTAAATAGATCTGGAAGGGGAGAGGACGGAATCCACACGGGCTGAACAGTGTACACTGCACTTTCTGAGGTTAAACTAAATAAATTGAGAGATGTATAAGTGCAAGGGAAATAATAACTGTGTAAGCCTTAATCCTTGCATGTCCTATGTTAGCCCTAACAAGCGAGCGACGCTAAATGGATTGATTTATTGGGGGAACACTCTGTGCTTGGTACGTGTGTACAATTTTTGTATTAGATTTCTATATACCGAGTTAGGATAATTTAACTTCACCTTTTGAGGAAGGATTTTAATATTGTAGCATTATTTAGTTGATGGGCAAAGTTTAACCTACTCCATAGCATGAGCTATCATCATTACTTGAGTCCCTTCGATCTCTGGGTTGTTTACTATCCCATTTTCTTCCATCCACTCTTCGTACCAATCATTACCAACATTATACTCGATCATCTTTTCTTTGCCCTTCGTTGAATTTTGATTTAAAGGACGATCGTGATCTGACTTTCGAGCTGGGCACTCCCTTGCATAGTGATTGCCCCTACAGATGTGACATCGATGAGGACCTTGAGTTGTTCCCCTCTTGCTATGGCAATTATTTGCATAGTGACCACTTTTTCCACAATTGTAACATACAACTTGGTTCTTACTCTCAGGGTTCTTGTCACCCTTATTTATTTTTGGTTTAAAGGCCAGCTTGCCTCTGTTTTCAATTTGACCTAGCCGAATATTGGCTTTATCTCTCTTTTTGTTGTCAAAGTTGTTGTTTACCAGAAAGTCTTTGTTGGAATGGTGTTTGTTTGTGTTCTGAAAAGCCTTGAGGCTGTGGTTGGAGATGAAATCGTTGATTAGTTCTTCCAACGACCATTGTTTGGTTTTTGAGGTTTGTGAGGCCTCATAATCCCATCTGTGGGCCCTTTTCTCGACCGCACGTTTGAATATAAGTATTGTGATATTGTCAGCTAACTCCTGACCAGTTGATTTAAATTCTATAACGCAGACTCTAAATTTTGTCACGAAATCAATAGCGTTACCTCCGTAGTAAGTCAGCTCTATTAGGTCATTGAAGAAGTTTTCAGCCTGTATTGTGCCAGACTGTCGATATGTCTTGTTGAGTAATTTCATCATATCCGACCCGCTGCTTGGATCTTCAATGATCCTTCTTGGGTTATCGGTCACTGATCTCCTGATCACTGATCCGAAATTTGCTTTATCTAGATTTGATAATTTGATCCCTTTAACATACCCTATCGACTGCAAAGCGAGCATCACGTCATTTTTATAAACTCCCCAGTTCTGGAAGCCGCGTAAGAAGTGGTCCTTGTGAGGTTTCCACTGTAATTGATCCCAACTGAGATTAGTTTCTGCTGTAGTTACTTGTAACGTCCCTTGAGGAGGATTCCACCAATCGTCGTCGCTGTCGGACTGTTCGTTGCTTCTCGCCGAAGAACTAGACTCGTTATCCACATTCTTCCTTCTCACATTGGATTTCCTATTGGACCTTGACTCGTCCATCTTGTAATTGCTGGGCCTTGTCTTGCCCGAAATACTTGCGACCGATTGATCTGACTCAAAATTGTTGTCTTTCTGTTGTGCAATAATGTCGCGATCAGCCTTAGATAGTTTTCCTGCCATTTTCGTTGTGTGAAGAAAGTAAAGGAGTTCTTTTGATCGTAGAAAGATAATGCCACAATATTAAAATCCTTCCTCAAAAGGTGAAGTTATATTATCCTAACTCGGTATATAGAAATCTAATACAAAAATTGCACACACGTACCAAGCACAGAGTGTTCCCCCAATAAATCAATTCATTTAGGGGGACTATTCTCAACACCTGTCAGTGGTGTCCCCTACGAACCTCCAGCTCTCACTATAGAGTCTGCAGAGCCGAGATTGAGTAACAAAGTCCTCACTTCGAAGAGGATTCCCAATCGCTTTCGCGGTCTGTATCGTCTTCATCCCTCAACACATTCCCCTATCACCACTATCATGAAGCTAACCACGATCAGATCAGATGGTAGGGTCGGAGCCCTACTCGTCACCCACCCTTGATCATGGAGGAAAAGCCATCCGATGAGTTTCCGGAGCGTACCCAGCACCCAATACGGAGATGGTGGATTGGATCAAGTCGGCCTCGACTGTTACAAAGAAGGGAGATATAGATGAATATGCGCACCTCATATGGTCCCGGTGGCTGAATTCCACGGGTAAATACTGAGCTGAATGGCTATTCATCAAGGGGAATATATCAATGATCTTTCAAGTAACAAAAGAGGATAGGAGCACTGTACAAGGTGTGGCCTGGGTCAGAGAGGAGCCCAATGTGCTAGATAGTCATAGACTCAAGTAGTACAATAAAACACACACACATCAATCCATTTAGCGTCGCTCGCTTGTTAGGGCTAACATAGGACATGCAAGGATTAAGGCTTACACAGTTATTAATTCCCTTGCACTTTTACACAATGAAACAACAGCTTCTACGGCTAGATTAGCTAGTTGGAGAGTATTAATGGCATTGGCAGCCATAAATGAATGGCACATTCTGCAAGCTGACTTTACATCAGCTTACTTAGCAGGAGACTTGAAGGAAGTCATTTATATGCGACAGTTTCCTTACCTCAAAGAATTTTTTAATTCAAACCCAGACCTAAGTAAGGCATCAGGATATACAGAGGAAAGTATAATCCAACTACAAAGGCCACTGTACGGATTAAAACAATCCGGAGCGTGTTGGCAAGATAAAGTTAAATCATTAATGCATACTCGAGGATTTAAAGCGTTGGCAGCCGACGATGCCATTTACTTTAATAAAGATAGTGGGGTAATAGTAGCGTCGTACGTTGACGACTTTCTATTAATAGGGCCTGATAAAAGTAAAATCAGTGCATTAACAAAATCTTTGAATAAATCAGTGCCATTGAATGACTTGGGAGAAGCTTCACGGTTTTTAGGAGTCAGAGTCCAAAGATCATCCACAGGGAGTGTGAGGTTAGACCAAAAACAATACATCGACAGGTCAATGATAGAACTGGAATTACAGAGTCAACGGCCCGCACCAACACCTATGTCAGTTTCTAGTAGGGTAGACATGAAGAAATATAACGGAAAAGCCTCGAATACAGAGCTTTATAATTACCAGAAGTTAATAGGAAAATACAACTTTTCGGCATGCATGACCCAATGTGACACTTCACAAGCTATGTCTCAATTAGCGAGATATTTGTGTAATCCTTCTCCCCATCACCACAAACATGCGTTGAGAGTAGCCCAATATTTGTCTGGTAGTGCAAACAAGGGCTTGGAGTATACCAAAGATCACAGACACGTAAATGAATTCGGGAAATATGGATCGCATTGTGCTGTGGACGCTATCTCTCCATGTGACTTTGAATCATCTAAATTAACAACAGGCTATGTTATATTTATGGGAGGAAGCCCTGTCATTTGGAGGTCAAAACTACAGACAACAGTATCTACACTGACTTGTGAAGGCGAGTATGCAGCCATCTTCGAAGCAACAAAAGATTGCGCTTGGATAAGGACATTCCTGGAAGAACTGGGGCAAGTGCCATCCGGACCCATCCCTGTCCTTGAAGACAACAACGGAGCAATCAAATGGTCTAACAGTACAGGAATCAGCTCTGGCCGAAGACATGTTCGTGTAGAGTACAACTGCACCACGCAGGAAGTTCGCGACAAGAACATTACCACAAGGAAAGTGGAGTCAAAATTGAACCCAGCGGACGGCTTGACTAAACCGCTTAACAATGCGGCGTTTAACGAGTTTGTCGAAAGACTTGGAATGGTAGATTGATTAATTAGCGGATTAAGGTTTAGGGGGCGTGTAAAAGTGCAAGGGTAATAATATTTGTGTCAACCTTAATCCTTGCATGTCCTACAGTGCCTCTGGGTTGGAAAAGGTAAAACTTCAAACTGGGTCGTTGAAGGGATTAGCCCTGTAGGTGCAGTTGGGCTAGCTCGTAATAGGTTAGTATGTCTCTCCTCCTTACCCCGCTCGCCATGAAGTATGGTCCAATCGTCTTCTTCAAATAATCGCTTAGTTAAACACATTTTCAACAACAATCTTGACTGCCTAACCTAAACAGTCCTCGAATCTTAACATCACACTCAATTCATCCTCACTTCTAGCAAATAATGTCTCTCCAGAAGTCCGTTTCAGAAACAAAAGTTCGCAAGCATCTAATTCGTGATCAATGTATTGAAATAAGAGCATTAAGAAGTCTTGGGTTGACATTACAACATATATCCGACGAACTTAGCTTCACAAGAAAGCAAGTGCAACTTGCGTGTGCTCGAGAGACTGAGAATCCTAAGCCTCGTAAAAGATGCTTACCTAGAATAAGCGCGGAACAAGGTGATGAGCTTGAGGCTTTCGTCCGGGAATCTCCAGAAAATCGACAGATGTGCTACTTGGAACTAGCAATGGGGCCCTGTCGAACCTTTTGAGCTGGTTCGGAAGCTGTAATGATTGAGACTAGAGGTATCTGGAAGAATAGCTCGCACAGGAGCTTTCAATTGAAGTAAATAAAAAGATGTAATTGTCTGTCTGTCTGTCTTCCTTCCTCTTTCTCTCAGCTTATATATCTACACATATCTACTACCTGACGTAAGATGATAATATCTAGAAATAGCTTACTTACATCACAGGATACAATCCAAACATGTTGTAGCCAAGATGTAATCCTAAACCGACTCAATACCAGTCCACCACGTCTGTTACACGGACGCCAAGCATTTTCTAGCTGTAAATTACCCAAAACGCCAAGGTTTTCCTGAGGCAATCACAAATTATGTCAGGCACCAGCTTGGCATATTATTCTGACAATAATGTTACGATCATGTTAGAAGAATGGAATTTACATGAATCACGAAACATTAATTCAGGAATACGAATTCCACCGGGTTCTGATACTGGTCTGACAGGCCCTTCAGCCACTGGGGGTGCAGTGAACGTTTAATTTCAAATGCCCTCAGTAAAATAGATTACAGTAGATGCATTGCTCGGAAGAAGCATCCGTTAAGCGCGGTGAACAAGCAGAAAAGATTGGAGTTCGCCCAAATACATTTAGATTGGAGCGATGAACAATGGAGTCGCATATTATGGACTGATGAAACCTGGGTATCAGGTGATTCTCGTATGAAACCTCGTGTCACAAGAGAAATACATTAAGATTCTATCAAAATCTTCCTTGTACTAACAGCAGAGTTTGGCCTGATGATGAGTTTGATGAGACTTGTATTGTGGCTCGCCATACTCATAGGAACTGCTAGATGTTTTGGGGATCATTTTATGGATCACAAAAAGGCCCATTATTAGTCTGGGAGAAGGATTAGGGATCAATGAGGGCCTAATCCTTTTGTGAAAGGATTTTGCTTCTTTTGAATCAATTTCACGTGGAAAATCCAGAAATTCTATACATGCACCATGTCATAAAGTATAAGGAAATGGTTAAACTGTCCTTTGCAGCTATTGATGGTGACATGAATTAAGATGATGATTGTGATTGAGATAGATTTCTATATAGTTTATAATACATGATATGCTCAGGTTCATATACCTCGAGCCAAGCAACCAGATTATGTTCCTCTAGATCTAGATTCATCAGAATAATTACTTACTCAGTTAATTTCTCCTAGTCTCAGTTGTGTGTTTAGGATCTTGATTAGGTTTCTAGTAACTAGTCAATGATGTTTCTCATATCACTGAGACATAGTCATGGTTGATACAACAGGTACAAACGATGAGTCGTGTCTGTACATGACGTTGTGATATAGTCATGATCGTCTGAACAATATCAACTCATGAATGAATCATGTCTCTACATGACATAAAGCGTACTCAACAATTGAGGCGCTGCGTGAAGTTGGAATAACGTCTATTAGATGGCCACCTTACTCTCCGGACCTGAACCCGATCGAGTCATTGTGGAATATCTTCAAAAACCACATTCAGGTAAATAGTCCTGAGATGAATGGGGTCAGGCTTGTGCTCTCTGCCACGTTGAAGACATTGCTACAGGATGAATGAGACTCTGTACCTTCTGAGGAGCTATTGTCACTAGTTGGCAGCATGCACGAAAGATGTGTAGCAATGATAAAGGCAAATGGAGGGTACACAAAGTATTAGGATGGAGAAGACTAACACAAAACATGTAGTACGCTTTCATTTTAGTTGCGAGCCATACTGAGGGCTTCGATGTAGACTTTTGTAATGTAGAGCAATAATTTTTGAAATAAATGTGTATTTTTAGAGAATATCAATTGAGTTTTTTTTTTTTTTTTTTTTTTTTTTTTTTTTAATTTTGAATTTCAAATGAGGACCATTGTACTTTTCCCATTGAGTTGAAAACCATACCCATAATTCAGACTTTCACGGAATGTCATTGGATAGTACTCCTGACTTGCATAACTAGTCGACGAGCTAGACTTGGGCCTGCATGAAGACTAAACCAATCTAATTAATAGGTACAGGGATCTAACCCCAGCCATTTTGACAAATTTACCTTTGCCATCCATAAGAGACTGTATGTTAGCCCTAACAAACGAGCGACGCTAAATGGGTTGATTTATTGGGGGAACACTCTATACTTGGTTCGTGTGTGCAATTTTTG